TAAATGGGGGGCATCCATTTTAATATTTCTTTTTTTTTTTTTTAAATTCCATTCCATGGAGACTCCTTCCCTGAGAACACAGCACAGACTAAATTTCCCTGTGTAAACTCAGATTTGCAGAGTAGCTGAACTCAAACAGTCAGCACCGTGTTTGAAAGGGTGATTTTAGGATGCCTTTTGTCCCCTTTTTCCACTAAAAGGTTTCACTTGAAAATATTCTAATTGATAAATAATAATATTTACTCCAGCTGAATTCACAATATGTTCATATTACTCGATCTCTGTGGGGTTTGGGCAGCCATGCCATGAAAATAACCCTGGAAATAGTTCTAGAAATATTCCCTTTCCCTTCTTTACCCACTGGCATTGAAGCAGCAAGTGATTCACAATAAAATTATGTTGCTACAGGAGGAAAAAACCCACTAAAGTAATGATCACACATTCCTTCACTTCTGAGGTAAAACATGTTTTTCAACAGCAGAAAAATATTTGTATTTGGTTAAAAAAAAACCAAACCCACACAAAAAGAAAGGTAAGAGATTTTCATGGTATCTTTGAAGCTCTACTTGATATCAAAGCAAATTTCGAGGAGTTAACCTGATCACAAAGCAGCTGGTGTTGCTCTCCAAACTAAAAGAATTATACTAAAAAAAACCCCCACCTCTTCAGGCATCTGGAGCAGGATTAAATTTGCAATGCAGTGTTAATGTAACCTTTCCTCTCCTTTTTCTCCCCACTCCCCCTTTTTTTCTCTTTTCTTTTAAATGACTGTGATAGAAGTGAAATCTAACATTTAATTCAGCTGAATGTACTGCAACTGTGCCATAAAATCTGGAGATCTTGTCATGTGTCTACAGGGGAGGCTTGGGCCGGGCTCAGAGAGCGGATCCCAAGGCCTTGGAAAATTGGGGATGAGCCAAACCAAGCCCAAACTGTGCAGCTTCACACCCATCTCTAATCAGAAGCATTAACTTGACACTTTTCCAGCCATGAGTAACCATTCTTCCATGCTGCAGGAACTCAATAGGATGCATTGTACAGCACTTATTTCCATGTCTCTTATTCATATTTTGGGGCTTGACAACAAAGCCTGAGTTTTGGGCTTTCATTCAAGCTCCAAAGAGCAAAAAAAAAAAAATAAAAGGGTTTTGGTGAGACCTTTTCAGCTCCAGGTTTGAGTAGTAATGTAAATTAGAACTTTGAAGTGAGGATTATCTCTTCTGTTTTGTTTAATAATCATTAAAATAATTAAAAAAAGAATATCTTGGTGTCTCCTGGAGGTCTGACGAGCTCTACTCCATTGAAAATGAAAAACAGAAGAACACAGGTAGGAATTAAGACATCCCCAGCTGAGCATCACTGCAAAATCTGTTTGCAGAAGGCAAGTGAAGTGCATGGAAAAGCCTGGAAAAGGGGGGGCCTTAATGATAACAGCTGTACAACTCATTTATTACCAAAAAAATCAGTGGAGGTTTTAGATATGGCCCAAGACTGAAACATAAGGAATGAAATCATAACACAAATCAAGCACCTACTGCCCTGTGCTTTTTCACCTTGATTTTTCTCTCTCACATGTTCCTGTGCTGGTCAGGGAACAACTGTCCTTTCAAACCTAATAAACAATTCTGCACATTAATGACTTTGCCTGCTGTAAATCTTAACGATTAAAATGAAAATTGGTGTGCAAACAGACCCTTAATCCTTTAAAAGAATCTTTTTTTTCTTTTTTTCCTCCACTTCTGACTTTAGGGGTTGATGACAGGCAGGCAAAGAAAAAGGCTTTGCCAAAATTTAAAATCTTAAAACGCAACAAATTAAAAAAAAAATCAATTAAAAAGAAAAAAAAAAGAGAAGGGTGCAGAAGGCACTGGAGCATTCAGGAACACTCTTAACTTTGGTTGTATCCAGGGAAGTCATCCTCCTATCCTTAGAAACAAGGAGGCAGACAGAAAACAAGCTGTCTTTGCTTATTGTCTTCCCTGTTCATCACGGCTGATTTCCCTTGGAACAGGGAGCTCTGCTAGTCCCAAAGTGTCAAATTTTAGCAATCAAGCCGCTTTTTTGTGTCTTTTTTTTATCCTCACTGACCTCTGCAGCCCAGAACAAAGCTCGTGGAGCCCCGTGTCCAGCTTTGAACGAGGAATGAAAACCTCAGGAATTTTGCAGTTTGGCTCAGAGGGTTCATTTTTGCGATCCCAAAAAAGCCCCATCGACATTTTTAGGTTTGATAGAAAGTAAATTAAAACTCGGTGGTTTTGCCTGATCTCGGTTAATTCGGGGGTCTGAGCTGGAATTCTCACACCGAAACTCCGAGGGGATGAACTCCTGGAGACTGGGAGTGTGGGAGGAGTTGAAGTTATCCCTGAAAAACGGAACCACGGGGGTTCACTCGGCTCAGCTTTTCCCACCCTGGCTTGTGCCAAGGCAGAAAAGCCAGAGGAAGAGCCTGTCCCAGCTCCTTTTCCTCTCCTAAAGTGCTGATTTTGGTGCAGAGATCAAAAGCAAGGCCACACTTTCTCCCGTGCAGGCACTGCCAGGCGGATGTGCCGAGGAATGGAGGAATTCCACGGAATTCCAGCCCCATCCAGGTGGGGCTGCAGGACTCGGTTCAGCTGCCCTGTCGTGTTTCCCTGGGAATCTGAGGCTGTTGGGGCTCTGCTCCATCTGCATTTGGGTGTGGAGGCCCAGAGGTGACCCAGAGAACGGGGCTGGTGTTTCAGATTCCTGCCCCGAAAAGTCGGATCCGACCTCCTGCAGTTCAGCACCTGACAGAAATCTGGGATTTAAACCGAGGGGTTTTTGGGAAGAGCCAGCACGAGCTTGAAATCAGAGCTGAACTGCTCCAGTGGCCAGGTGTGTTTGGACCCAGAATTTCAATTTTGGCTGTGACAACCAATATTCTGTGTACCATGGCAGTGCCTCCAGTCCCCAGGTGCTGATCAGGAGCACGATTTCTTTTACAAACTCATAACAACCCCCCCCAAAAAAGAGCCTGTATTTAGGTTTCATTCCATTCCACAATCAGCTCTAAGAGCCAACAAGATCTGTTTACATGCTGTAAAATGGGTTTTCCTTTGCTCTCCAGATTTTTTTTTATTTTTTTTCGTTCTTGGTAGATGAAAACTAATTGGTTTTTTTTTTCTTTCTGGAAACTGCCATTTGAAATAAAAAAATCAGTCTGAATTTCCTAACAATGAGCACCTCTTTTTTTTCCTCCTGTCTTATCATCTCTAAAAAACACAGAATGAAGAAGTCACTGCAGCCCCTTTAAACTACAAGTGAAAAAAATTAAGTTGGTCAGGATTTTTTCTTTAAATTCCTTCCTGCTCCAAATAAAAAAAAACAAAATTAATAACTCTTTTTTATTTATTTTTTTGCCTACAGTTCTTTAATTTTTTTGAGCTTTTGTTTTGCAGGATTCCTCTTAAATTTGAACCTTTTTTCTTCAATAAAAATTTACCTCCTGCAAATTTTTCATCGTGAGGAAAAGTTAAAAATAAAATATAAAAATCACTTGTCTGTGAAAACATGTTTTGGTGGAAAGTTTTAAGCAACTCTGTCAGCTCCTGTGGAGCTTTAACTTCATTTAATAAATGAGGAAGCTGATGCAAGTGAGCACGAAACATGAAGCAATGAAACATGAATTGCCAGACCTACAGATGTCACCTTCCCTTGTCAAGCCCTGTGGGTCTACAAGAAAACCACCCATCCCTCAGTGAGATAAAATCCAATTTGTAGCAGGGATGTGACCCAGGGAAGACACAATAATGATGAGAACAAGGAGAGTCCTGCTTTCCATCGGTGGCTTTTGAAGGCTCTGGATGACAAAGGACACGTGGATTTTCAAATGGTCTCCTGGGTTTGACCACAAAGTTTTACCAAGGTGAGCAGTGAATATTATATTTGTATAATATATACTAAATATATGTGCTAATTGTATAATATATACTCAACATACGTACTAATTGTATAATATATACTAAATATACATACTAAATGTATATATATTTGTATAATATATACGAAATGAAAGGGGAAATGGCTCAGTAAAGGTCACACAGTAAATTTGGGGCACGGTCCAAGCACCAGATTTGCATCCCTGTGGTCCCTCACCCTCCTCTCTCCACAGTCCATTCCAGCACCACTTTCCTCAGCCACGTCCCTTCCCACCTGCCAGCACATCCAGGGAGGAAAAGGCCACCCCGTTCCCTTTCCATTTTCATAGCGGGCTTGAGCTACAGCGTGAAAGCCTTTATTTATGAAAGCTGAGGAGGGCGGGGGGCCCGCGTGTGCCTCTCCTCCCCGCCCACGGGCCACCTTCACTCCTCCCTGCGTTTTTATGAGCTGAATTCAAAATCATTCAGCCACGGGATGATGAAACCAGTGGCAGATTTCGCTGCAAAGCAAGCTGGGTCTATTTCGTCCGGAGGGCTTGTTGGCTTTGCTGTGTTGAGATCTTTAAAGTGGACCATTCCGCTATTTTGCGCTCCTTGGATGTTTGTTTTGGTTGTTGTTTGTTTGTTTTTTTTTTTAAAGAAGCCAAAAATGGTAGGGTATGAGAGTGTCTAACAGGCTCGGAAAAAAAAAAAAACAGCGGTAAGGCAGAGACGAGGGAATGAAGGAGTAGCACGTAGAGAGTTACTTTGAAAAATTCTGAGGCTTCTAAGTATCACAAACACGATCCCTGCTGTGGGCAGCTGGATGCGAGAGAGCTTTGCCCGAGGGTGTCAAATCAAATATCCACTGCTGGTTGGTACAGCACATCACTCCCCCTGGGGGATTCGGAGGGGAAAAAGAGGGGGGAATAAAAAAAAATAAATAAAAAATTAAAAAAAAAAGGGGGGGGAAGGTTTAAACACAACAAATGGAGAAAAACTTGAGCACTGCCTGCTCTGGGTTCTCCTGGGCTGTCATCGTATTTATTATGGAGGAGAGAGGAGGGGGGAAAGGAAGAGAGGAAAAGGAGCAGACAGGTTAATGCTGAGCCTTATAAGACTTACCTGGAACCGTCTCATGTCTCTTGGGTTTCCTGCTGTTTTCAAGCAGTTCTGATTGCACTTGAGAAAAAATTTTAAGAAGAATCTGGAAAGACAAAGAACCACATCACTCCTGTTACCCACAGGGAAAGGTGCTGTTGTATCCCGTGTTAAAGTACATATGCCAGGGATTTATGCAGTGATTTACACGATGGGGTATCTTATAGGATGTCAAAAGAGAAACCAAACAAATAAAGCCAAATCTTAACAGAGAGAAGTTTAAAACAACAAAAAAAAATCAGGTAAAGTGCAACCAAGGTGCCTGAAACCCACTCTGGGTTTGACCACACAGTTTTAGTCCCTTCCTTTATCTCTCCCTCGCATACAAGGTCTTTCTTTTGCTGTCTGGAGGGATTTTCCATGAAACAATACAGGAGGATAATGGTATTGCGGGAATGACAAAAACCAACAGGGCAACCCTGCAGCAGATAAGCCTCCAAACCACTTCGGGGGGTTTAAAACCAGAACCAGGAGAGGAACCTGAGGAGGTTCCCTCAGCTGATATTTTTTTTTGTGGTGAAGATTCCAGTGACTGAAGCAGAGAAGCAGTAAAATATCCAGATTATAATCTCACCAAGATTTAGAGGGAGGACAAGGAAAACACAAGCCCAAGTGCTACATGACAGCTCACGCTGTCCGAGCAGATAAACCCATTAACACTGGACAAACTTCTGCTGCCAATTATTTTTGCCCTGTCACACCCTCTTTTTTCTTTTTTTTTTTAATGTGTCTTAATACTCTGGAGAGTTCAGCTCATCAAGTTGAACCTTCAGCACTCTTGGGTGACTTACCCAACACCATACATAAGAGATTTGAGAGTTTGGAAATATTAAGCAGCGATTTTTCTGTGAGCTTTTCCACTGAATTTTATGTCAAATCCAGGGAGGAGAGGACTCATCCCTTTATTTGATTAATCTGATTAAATTTGTGAACTTCATAAAGAAAGAAACTCCACGAAAATCCACATTTTTTGGATTAAAAGCAAAACAAGCCCGTCTTCAAAATTCAGACAGAAGCAAGAAATTTTTCAGCATCCTCTGTCACAAATGAAAATATTCCCTGTGATTCTTTTCCTTTCTATTTATAGGACAAAATACGTTGAACCACAACGATCTCAATTACAAAAATAAATCAAAGATGGCTTTAGAAGGGGAAAAAAAAAACCAAACAAACAACCTCGGATATAAGAAAAAAATAAATAGTCGAAGAATTGATTTGGAATACAAAGACCAAGTTATTTATTTATTTCTCTTGCCGAGTGCTTTCCTTAAAAAAAAAAAAAAAAAAAATCAGCTTTTGCAGTAAGTTAAAGTCCCAGGTGAGCCAGGCCTATTTCCCTTCCTGTTACTATGACAACGATTTTTTACCGCAGTCCCTAAGTCCCTTCAGAACTCACACATTCATGCCTTGAATTAGAACTTTAAAGGAGAAAGATGGATATTTCCTGGGTTTACCAACAACACCCCCCAAAGCAGTCCTGCCACGAGACAATGAGGCAGAAAAACCCTCTCTGCCTTGTTTAGGGCCCCCCTTGGCCCGGGGTGTTCCTGCTCCTCCTGCCCCAAAATGCAGAGAAACCACCGAGGGTTGGACCCGTTTGGGTGTTGCTGGAACAAACAAAACCCTTTGGAAACCCCACCAGCACTAAACCTGCAAAAAACGCCCAGGAAACCTCCTATAAAACAACTGCCCCAAAATCCACCCCGAGAGCGAGCTGGGATTTTCATTTTTAAATTAAAATCTCCCCTTTTCCCCCCCCCACCCTTAAATGTATGAGATGTTGAAAGAGTGTTTCTTTTCTCTGCGAGTGCATTTTGCAGGCTGTTGTTTTCTCTGTTTTTCCTTCTCACTCCCCATTTAAAGAGCTCTTGGGGTTTTTTCCAGGGGGTCCTGCTGGGATCTCCCTTCACCTGAGCAGGTTGAGCAGGAAAGGGGTGTCAGTGCTCAGCTCTCAGGGGGTCAATCCTGCCGACAGATCCCGGGCACCTCCCTGGATTCCGACCTAAAAACCCTCCAGAACTTCCTTCCTCGGGAGCAGCACCGAGCAAATACATTCCCTCAAATAAGTCCTACTGACTCCTCGTGCTGAAACCTGTGACCCCTTTTATTTGAATGATTTGGGACCTCTTTTCGTGGAGGGAGATTTTATCCAGGAGAATGTTTTCCCAAGGAAAAATCCTCCGCGCGCCGGCGCGCTCCGACGTTCACGGGAGGGTTTGAGGCAGAAATGCTGCTCACAAACACCCCTTTTTTATCTCCCCCTCTTCCCACAGATGTCCAAAAAATTATTTGCAGGTAGATAAAGGCGGCCCTGAGGCGTTCCTGTGGAAGGGAAAACTGCAAAGTGGAACCAAACTAAGACAACGAGGTAACTTTGACGCGAAAATCAACGAGCTGATTGTCCTGCAGGAAAACTGCAAACAAAAATCCACAAGTTGTTGCTTCCAGGGGAAAAAAAAATAAAACAAATTAATCAGGAAAACTGCCCCTTTCCTTTTGTAATTTTTTTTTTTTTTTGGTGAATGCTTTGCATCCCGTTCCTTGAGAGGAGGAAAACGATCAGATAAAGAACTAAAAATGAGGAAAACGAGCAAAGAAAAGTGTCTGGGAGGGAACTCGCGGCCGAGTTTGGGAAGAGCAAAGATCCTGCAGGGCTGTGTGTGACACAAACCCCTAAAGGGCAAATAAAGAGGGGAAAAGCTCTAAATGTAACCCCTAAAATGCAGGTACAGGGGGGAAAAAAATCTAAATGCAACCCCTCAAAGGCAGGTACAGAGAAGCAAAATTCTAAATGTACATTTAACAGCATCCACGAGCAAACTCTGCAGCACAGTGAACTAAAATGATATTTTCCTGCTAAATGCCTCCAGAAAATTAAGGTTTAGATCCTCATCAAGCATAAACTAACAAGGTGTGTGAAAATTAAAGGTGGATTTTGAATTAAATCTGGGCTGATTCAGACCAAGGGGGTGTGTTGTCCGTTAAAAACACACAGAAGAGAAAACTCTCCCTGTGCTGCTGCATCCCTGACTGCTCTGCCCCAGACACATCCAAACCCACGGAGCTCTGGGCTCCTGGGCCAGGAGATTTATCCAGCAGCAATCTGAGGATCTGTTGTGGTTTATCCCACCTGGGATAACTTTCTGGCATTGCTGAGCAGCTCGACTGCTGAAAAGTTTGCCCCTTTAGGACCCCCCAAAATCGCCTCATCTCCCCTCTGAAAGTGCTGGCTTTGACTTTAGCACTTAAACATCGTGGCAGAATTCAGATTTATTGCTAAGACATTTGTAGTTTCTTCAGAGCTCGCTGAATGTGCTGCACTGTGATGGTTTTCCCTCCCACCACCCCCAAATTTAGGTTGAATTTCGTTTAGATGCACGCACAAGAATTTTTATCTTTTCTCCAGTTCAACCACATCTCTCTTTTTCTCCTCTCAGGGTTCCTCCAGTCACATTTTAGCTGCAACTGGGCATCTGCATGAAGAATTTGGTAGGTTGTTATATATATATACATATATATATTTTTTAAGTGGTTGCATCTGGGAATGGCATTAATATTTATTGCAGCATTAGAATAAAAATGACTTGGGGGGAGCAAAGAGGAGGGAAGGTTTAGCACTAAATGAAGCTGATTTAGGGGTAACAGGAGAATTGCAGAAAGGCTTTATTAATTTTTTTAAATTAGAACCTTTAGCCAGTTTTTGGCTTTAACCTATATATATATATATCTCCAAAAAATTATTGGGGAAAAAAAGGAATTACAAAAAATTATCTCATTGTCATGTCTCTTAGCCAGCTTTTGGTCTTGCTAAGGCCAGCTTTAGGTCTGAGTTTAGCAGGTAACTCTGACTCCAGCCAAACAGAGGGAATGTGGTTCTTCCTCTCACAGATCAGCATTTCAGGGTGCTGGGGGAAAACCAAACACTTTTGAACAACACCTAAAAACTCTGGCATTACCACAGAAAACCTGCTTGACTTAATGCAGAAACATAAAATTAATGAAGATATAACTATGGACTTTTTCTTTTCCTACTGTCTCTCACACACTCGACCTCCCTGGGCACAGATTGATGCCTTTGCATCTCCAAAATGCCACCTTAAATCTGCCTCCCTCTGTTAGGGTTCAGAGGGAGCTGTTTTAAAAGTCGCTGCTCCTTCTGCTGGGAGTCACCCCCGAGCTGAGGAATCACTGAAGTGCCCCTTTTTCACTTCAGGACAAAGACAGCTGTGTTACCTCAGCTGCTTTTTAGCAGTGCCATGAGCAATCCTGTCTGACCTGGGGGGGAAGCAGGTTGGGAATGCTGGTTCCATCCATCCCAGAGCTGTTCATGGACAGGGAGAAAGGGTGATGCAGACTAAGTCAAGTTTTGCATCAATCAAGCAGCTGTTGCCCCCCAGTCCCTGTGTGTGCCCAGATTTTCAGGTTATGCCCCTACCTGAGGCAACTGGAACGTCTGTCCCACACCTCTGGGGGTGTTTATCCATCTCAGGTGACTGAGAAGAATCAAACTGACCTGAACCAAATCCCAGTGGAGTCAGAAAAAGCTTCCTGGTGGCTTAAACAGCAGCCCCACGTGCAACAGAAGGTGAAATTTAAAAAAAACCCACATTAATAATGTTTTAACACCCTACCCCAAGAGCTGGGATGGGCAAGTGTCACCACAGGGGCCCTCAGGGACAGAGAATGTGCTTTGTGTTCTCACAGTGCCAGTCTGGGGGACTCAAAATTCCATGAATTCTGCCTCAGAAAACCCCTCTGCAGAGGTGCTGCCACCCACCAGTGCACAGGCCAAGATCCCAGGGCCTGGAAACTGGGAGGGAACTGCTCCCCATCCCATCCCATCCCATCCCATCCCATCCCATCCCATCCCATCCCATCCCATCCCATCCCTCCTGACTCCTGGTTCTGCATCTTCCCTAATCTTCCCATCCACCCTCTGTGCCTTCTTAAAATCAAGAGGTACAGCATTGGTTGTATCTTGTGAACAGCCTCTGGATGCACTTCCAAAACACCCCTTGTAAAGCAAACACTGGGATAATTCTGGCT